GATTAAAAAGTTTAGTAAAATCAAATTATTGTATACAGATACGGATAGTTTAATATATCATATATTTACAAATGATTTTTACACTGATATAAAACCTGACCTTTCATCATACTTTGATACCTCAGATTATGATACAAATAATATTTTTGAATATCCAAAATTAAATAAAAAGAAATTAGGTTTTTTTAAAGATGAAAATAATGGTAAAATCATGAAAGAATTTGTGGGTTTACGATCCAAAATGTACGCTTTTAACTTAGAGAATAAGACTATAGCCAAGGTAAATAAATGTATCACTAAAAAGATGACAATGAATAGTTATAAGTCTTCTCTATTTAATAAAAAAGTGCAATATTATAGCATGCTTAGATTTAAATCAATTAAACACACAATTTTCACACAAAAATTAAATAAGATAGGTTTATCATATAATGACACAAAGAGACATATTTTAGATAATAATATTGAAACATTAGCTTGGGGTCATTATAAACTGCGTTAAGTGTTGATAGTTTTTACTTTTATGTCTGCGTTTAAGAAAAATTTATATTGATTGTAAAATTATGATAATACTATAATATGACGTAGTTTATTACATATTTAAACATTGTTTTATTGTAAATAATTTAAGTTAATTGTTGTTTCTATTTATTTGAGGTTGAGGTAATTGTAAAATTATGATGTACTAATTGTTGTTTCTATTTATTTGAGGTTGAGTTAATTGTAAAATTATGATGTACTAATTGTTGTTTCTATTTATTTGAGGTTGAGTTAATTGTAAAATTATGATGTACTAATTGTGTTAGAAATAGTATACAGATAATTCTGTTTTATATAATTTTTGGAATATATATTAATTGTTTACACCAACACTTTCATTTTTTATTTCACCCCTTTGAACTTTAGACGTGTGTTATGTTTCACTTTATCCATCCGTTCACTGCTATTGTGGCAGGACCAAGTGGGTGTGGGAAGTCAAATTTTGTAACAAATTTCATAAAATCAGTTACAGAAATATGTAATTGTGATTTTAATCAGATCACATGGTGCTTTGATGAAATGCAACCATTATATAATTTACCAAATGTTAACTATCATCAAGGAATTCCAAATCTTAATATGTTTGATGGTGAAAACCCACATCTTGTTATTATTGATGATCTAATGAGAGAGTCCGATGGAAGAATTGTGGATATATTTACAAAAGGTAGTCATCACAGGAATCTTAGTGTATTTTATCTAACACAAAATTTATTTCATCAGGGTAAAGGACAAAGAGACATATCTTTAAACTCAAGTTATATAATATATTTTAAAAACCCTCGAGATAAAACTCAAATAAGATATTTAGCAAGACAAGTATCACCATATATCCCAAAATTCATTGAAAATGCCTACAGGGATGCAACTCTAGAGGCGCATGGATATTTAATGGTAGATTTAAAACAGAATACCAATGATTTTTGACGTATCAAGACAAATGTCTTTCCATTTAATGGTTTCTGTACAGTCTACGTCCCCACAAAAGAGTTTAAATACACCAAGAATCAAACAATTGAAATCATTGCTAAATGATGCATCGTCGACTCACAACGTATAAACATTTGCTAACCGCTTTGCATACGCTTAAACCAAAATATCAAAGAGCATTACTTAAAACGTGTGATGAAGAAGAAATTAACTGTATTTGTGAGTGTATTCATAACGTTTTACAAGGAAAAGTACCTCTTAAAGATCAGGATAAACAAAAATTGAATAAACATAAAAACATACTCCGTAAACTAGTACGTAAGTGTAAACATAAACTAAGAAAAAATATAATTATACAAAAAGGAGGGGCTTTCTTACCAACAATATTAGGTGCAATATTGAGTGGATTAGTGAGTGGACTAGCCAGTTAACATGGAAAATGCAAAGAAAATGATACTTATCGAACCTGGATTGATTGAAAAATTAAAACAAGAAAATAAGGTTAATAGTAATTTATCTCGATTAGATATTGAAATGCAAAATATTATGAATAGTAAGACGGAAGACCGAAAGAAATGGATATTATATTTACAAACACTGCAAAGATACCTTCATTTTACCGAAGAGGATCGTCAACCACTCAAATTACCAATTTATTCTGATACATCTAATGAAGATTCAAATGAGTCAAAAATTGGTTTTAAAAATAAAGATAGAGATCTAAAAACTTCAGTTGATATTGAATCTTTGTTGGAGGAGAATCGATCCATTAAAAGTAAAGAAAATGATGAAAATCCACTTTACACACCAGCTCAAATACTCAGTTTAATACCAAAAACTTATCATAAAAAAGGGCAGTTATTATTAAACTTAGTTGAAACAAGTAAAAGTAAAATACATTGGGATAACGAAGGTACAGTCATAATTGATAGTGAAAAAATTCCTGGAAGTAATATTGTTGATTTAATAAATGATTCACTAAGACCCCTAAAAAGAAGTGATCCGGTAGGGTGGGTTAGATTTGCTGAAGCATTAAAAGATATTAAAGTACGACTTACTTATATTGGAAATCCAAGGAGATGTGAGTTTATTAACCAACTTCAAGCAAAAGATCTGAACAAACCCTCTGAGATTGAAGTTCAAGAGTTTTCTACACCGTGCAGTAGAGATAAAAAGTCTACAACTAAAATACGTAAAGGACTTGAGTGGGAAAAATGGACTCCGTACTAGAAGAAATTAACAGGATTTATTATGATCCATCTAATCCCGCTGGTTTTGGTAGTATTGATAAATTATCAAAAGCCATGAAGGGTAAAATGAATAAAAAGCAAGTAAAGGAATGGTTAAAATCACAAGAAACATACACATTACATAAACCCATTCGAAAAAAATTCCCGCGTAATAGGTACATTCTATCAAATATTAATGAACTGTGGCAAGCTGATTTAAGTGATATGCGAACTTATTCTCAATATAATGATGGTTTCAAGTATATACTTTGTATTATTGATGTATTTAGTAAATATGCTTTTGCAAGACCAATGAAAAAGAAAAACTCAGAAACAACTAAAGAATGTTTTGAAAGTATATTTACTGAAAGTAATTTAACACCTACTCACATACAATCCGATAAAGGTACAGAATTTGTTTCAAAAGATGTACAAAAATACTTTAAATCCAAAAAGATTAATTACTATACCACTAACAATCCTGACATTAAGGCCAGTATTGTTGAACGATTTCAAAGAACACTAAAAATGAAAATGTGGCGTTATTTCACTCATAATAATACTTATAGATATATAGATGTTTTACAAGATTTAATATACTCTTATAATCACAGCTTTCACTCTAGTATTAAGATGTGCCCATGTGATGTAAATTCCAACAATATTATGACAGTTTGGACTAATCTTTATGATAGACGGTCAAAAAAACTTTCTTTAGAAAATCCTAAACCAAATTTCAATGTGGGTGATTATGTTCGAATAACTAAATATAAACATGTATTCCAAAAAGGATATGAATCAAATTGGAGTGATGAAATATTTATTATATCTTCAATAATTGATAGATCTCCATGGGTTGTTTATACAATAACAGATTTACAAAATGAACCAATAATTGGTACTTTTTATGAAAGAGAATTACAGAAAATCACTTACAACCCCACCTCACAACATAAAATAGATAAAATAATTGACACTCGTTATTCAAGTAACAGAAAAGAAGTATTAGTGAAGTGGAAAGGTTATCCAGATAAATTTAACAGTTGGATTTTAGCTTCTAGTTTAAAAGAAATATGAATAAAGAAAGTTTCTATTTAACTTTGCTCAGCAATAGTTCAATGGAATACTTTCCTGATAACAAGACCACAAATTTTTCAACGAAATTACCAAAAGCTATAAAATTAGAAGGTGAATGGTCGGTTGGAGTTGTCGAGTTTCAATATCCATGTACCATGTTTACTGTTCAAGACCATGAAAATGTTATATACATTACAAAATCTATGTTAATGCCTAATGAAGATAAGCCATTCACAGTGTACTACAAAAAACATATTCCAGCTACCAACTATGATAACGTTGAGCATATTTTAAGAGTGTTAAATGGTATCGGAGAGAACTTGAAATTTCGCTATGATGAAATAACAAAATTTGTGTCTATTTCGGTATTGGATAAAAATATAACATCCGTAACATTATCACCCAAATTAAGTTTACAGCTAGGTTATGAACCAAATAAAAATCTCCTAGAGAGAAATTTTGGAAAGTGTCCTGCTAATTTACACTTAGGGTTACCATCTCAACTATTTCTATATTGCGACATTATCGATCCTCAGATTGTGGGCGATGTTATGACTCCTTTATTAAGAGTCATTTCATTAGATCCTACAAAATACATTTATGGTGCAAATAAAATGCACGTTTTCTCTCAACCTCACTACTTACCTGTTATGCGAAGAGAGTTCGATACGTTGGAAATAGTTATAAGATCGAGTACAGGACAAAAAATACCATTCCAGTTTGGAACCGTGTGTATTAAACTACATTTCCGAAAATTATAATAATGAATTCTCTTCGTGATCATCATAAATGTCCATATGAAAATTATTATACACATCAAGCTGGATCAGGAGTTGGAGTAATTTATAAGGGTTCACCATATCAACGCGGTCATGGTATTGGGAGCTTCTTAGGGGGGTTATTCAGATCAGTTTTACCTTTACTTTCAAGTGGTGCTCGAGTGATTGGTAAGGAGGCATTAAGCGCTGGAGTAGGACTTTTATCGGATATGGTTCAAGCCCGTCCTATGGAAGCCTCAATAAAAGATCGTCTAAAGCAAGTTAGTACGAATTTAAAACGAAAGGCTGATGAGAAAATTGATCAATTTAACATGACTGGATCTGGGTATAAAACTAAAAGAAAACGATTGACATCGTTCATTCCACCATTAACTGCTAAAGTGAAAGCTGCGAAAAAACTTAGTCTAAAACCAAAAAATATCAAAGATATATTTTCAAACTAAATATGTCTTTCCTTCATAATCATTCTTGCGAGTGCGTTAAGTCAGAATTGGATTTGTTTGCACTACCGTCTACACAAACTAGCATTGAAAATGGATTGTGGATTCATTATAAACCAATTTCATCTCTTGGTGATGATGGACCTATCGAGTTTCAAGTTCCTGGGACCGGCGATGACTACATAGATTTGTCTCATACATTACTCCACATAAAGGCAAAAGTATTAAATCAAGATTCAACTAACTTGGTATCTACTACAATAGTAGCACCTGAAAATAATTGGCTGCATTCACTTTTTAGTCAACTTGATGTTTATTTAAACCAAAAACTTGTATCACCACCTAATAATACCTATGCATATCGAGCATACATGGAAACCCTTTTAAACTATGCCCCTGCTGCTAAACAATCTCATCTTACTTGTAGCCTTTGGTATGAGGATACAGCAGGAAAAATGGATTCTACAGATGGTAAAAACATAGGATTTGTTAAAAGACAGGAATTGATTAGTGAAAGTAAGGAAATAGAAATGATTGGTCATCTTCACGGTGACATTTTTAACCAAGATAAATTTTTAATTAATGGTGTTGAAATGAGTGTTAAATTGGTTCGATCAAGAGAGAGTTTTAATTTAATTGTTGGGTCGAACGATGTAAAGTTTAAAGTTTGCATTACGGACGCAACTCTTATTGTGCGACGAGCACGAATTAATCCAAGTGTATTACTCGCACATCAAAAAGTTTTAGCTTCTACCACTGCTAAATATCCTATTACTCGAGCTGAAGTAAAAGTTTTAACAATTCCTTCAGGTGTTCAAGGAAAAACTCTTGATAATATATTTTTAGGACAGGTACCGAAAAGATGTATAATTGGATTTGTGAACAATTCTGCATTTAATGGTTCCCTTACTAAAAATCCATTTAACTTTGAAAACTATGGTATTAATTCTTTCAGCTTATATATTGATGGTCAACAAATACCTTCAAAAGCTTTGCAACCATATTTTAATAATAGCATATTTACATCAGCATATCATACTCTATTCTCGGGAACTGGTATTCACTTTCTTAATGAAGGAAATGGAATCTCTTGTGAACAGTATGGCAAAGGTTACTGTCTATTAGCATTTGACTTAACTCCTGATTTATCAGCTAACTCATCAACTCATTGGAATCTCATAAAGCATGGTAGTGTAAGAATAGAAGTACGATTTGAATCCTCATTAATACAAACAATTAACTGTATAGTTTATGCTGAGTTTGATAATATTATTGAGATAGATAAAAACAGAAATGTTACTGTAGACTATAGTAGTTAAGGTTATAATATGTGTTGTGTGTTAGATTTTATGTGTTATGTGTAATGCATTTTGTGTGTATGTAACTATGTGAAACGTTATAAAATTAAATAAAACAAATTGTATGCAATATATTTTTTTTATTTCTTTATAAATCTTCTATTTAATCTAATACAAAACACTGTTCGAGTTGAAATTTTACATAAGCACACTGACTAAACCACTGAACATGCTGCTGCCAAGGATCATCATCATCTTCCCAATCTTTTAAACCACCACCACAATGGAAACACTTGGTCCCGTCTGCATGGCCAGTATAAAAGAAACCAGCTTCGGCAAGATCTTCAGGTTTCTGTCGCATAACTAGAGGCCAGTTTTCGAAACTAAGCAAACGGCTAGATTTTGAACTGAAGAATGGATATTCAGCTCTTGAGTACTGCATACTCTTCTCGTTTTCTTCTCCACTCAGTGTTGTAGTTTTGTTATTCAATGATGTGTTTTGTACACGTATGCCACACTCATCTCTTCCTTCCGCTCTTGTCTTTCTGTAATTGAAGTAAACAGAATCACATTCACTAATGATCAGCTAATGACTGTCATTGTTAAAAAAGTATTTTTTAACTTTTTCACTTTCTGCTATTGTCTTTGTTATATTGTATACGAGGGCGTTTGTATTGTCGTAGATGCTATCCTTATTAGTCTTTACGTAATATTTAATTCTCGTGGAAGCATGTTTCCAATGATCAGTAGTTGGAATCTTGGATAGCTTCTTCATATCGTACATTTCAATTTTGATGAGATGCGTCGCTTGGTCTCCGTCGTCAGAATTAGTAGAAATGTATGATACACCATCTCTAGCGGCTCGTGCTACGGTTGATGATAACAGCTTCCTCTTTTTTATTTTTGATTCAGCTTCAAAAAAATGATCAATCGATTGCGATTTTCTTTTTCCACCATCGCATTAATGACGAGGTTATCACTCTCTTCTTGAGGGGAGAGTGGCGAGTAGTAATATTGTTTATAGGTATCTTCATCGAAGCTCAATGATTTCTGCAACAACACAGTTATCATGTTAATATCAATTTGTTAACACTTAATCATAAAAGTTAAAAAAGTTAAAGTTACAGCCTATTAAAGTCCACTGCTGAACATAGGCCTCCTCTCATTTCTGAGAGGGTTTTAGAGCAAGGAAATGTCCGCCGCGCTCCCTCAATGTGTGTTGGTGAACTTCACATGCCTTCGAAATTTTCTCAGACATGCAGGTTTCCTCACGATGTTTTCTTTCACCACCAAGCACGTGGTAATAAGCACTTAAAATTGCTATTAACAATTTAATTGGTGCTGGCGGGGATCGAACCCGGGTCGCGTACTGTGAAATTTACAGCTAGCGCTAACCATCTGAGTTACCACGGCTTAATCATATACATACACAATATTTAAATAAAATAATACACACACACATGAAAATAACAGAAAAAAAGTAATTTAGTCAATAGAATAAACACTTACATCCATAGCCTTTGGTGTATTGAAGTAACACAAATGTACTATTGATAGATCCACTGTAGCCAAACGACCGTACACTAACTCGATGACTGCGTTTGTTGGTCTTATATACCACCAGTACGTAAAAATTCTAATCTAAAGTATTTCCGTAATGAGTTGATAATTACTTTATGCGTCAACCAGTTTATCTCACATTTCCGTTGCCTATCTCAACATTTCTTCGTATTGTGTTTTGTTTGGTGATCAATGACTCAAGTACGATTTGTATAACACAAAAATGCAATTTAATATTTAGAAACATATCAGTTTATCTCACATTTCCGTTGCCTATCTCAACATTTCTTCGTATTGTGTTTTGTTTGGTGATCAATGACTCAAGTACGATTTGTATATCACAAAAATGCAATTTAATATGTAGAAATCACTATAATTGACCATTCCTATGTTAATCATTGAGTAGCTAGGTACTGTAATAATCTACTAATAGCAGTAATATCATGGATACACTAGATGTACAACAACATCTGAAAAAGATTCACCCCAGTCTAGAAAATAATGTTTATGCAGCTAATAGACTGCCTATGTATACCCACGTACCAACGTATATAATATGTAATTTGGATACAGATGATAAACCAGGGTCACATTGGGTAGCTTTATATATCGATACGAATGACGTCGGTCAATATTTTGATTCATATGGACGATCACCTGTACGATATCATCTAGAGTTTTTAAAAAGGAATTGTAAAAGATGGAACTGGAATGTTGATAGGATTCAGAATGAGTGGACTTCAGTTTGTGGCGAATATTGCTTAATGTATTTACTATATAAGTTTCAAGGATGTTCAATACATAGTTTTACGAGTATATTTACAAGGAACACATTGTACAACGATATTTTAGTGGATGAGATGTTTCGCTCCTATTTTATAGATAATAATTAATAAGATTTTGTATTTTATAAATAAAAATTGTAACAAAATTATGTAATGTGTTTTATTGATGATTCAGATTAGCGTTGTATAAACAAAGAATTATAATAAACAATAGCACTGATATAGTCGACGCACACGCTGCAATGAAGGTGATTAAGGAACAATAGAACAATAGAAATAGGAACAATGGGACGCTAATGACGGTGGAGGCCCTTACCGGATATCAATTAGATATTAGCTAATTGATCTACACATCTCTGGAACCGTGCATTCTACACGAAAATCGGGCGTCGACGAACGTCGTTGAACCACGTCTGACTCAGGTGGTCTAGAAGTGGTACAACTACACTACTGCTAACTGCAAAGGAAAACAAACTATACCTGAAACCATGACGAAAAATTTGATAATATTACGTCAGAAGCGATTCCAATGTGGGGCGATATACCGTTATGTATATAATAATGTATTTAGGTGCTCATGGCGCATCCTTTCCAGTCCAGTAGTTTGAGAACGTCTTCCAATGTCCGCTACATACGCAGTTATTGAGCATAGTGCTTAGGTCCTCTAGCCATTCTGCCAAAAGTACTACATCGTCGGCAAATCGATAGTGGGTAATGTACTCGCCATTGATGTTAACACTGTATCCTTTCCAGTCCAGTAGCTTAAGAATGTCTTCCAATGTAGTGGTCAAGAGTTTAGGGGATATAAGGTCACCATGCCTTACACCTCTCTGCAGTTGGATAGGTTTCGTACTCTAGTTCTGTACTCGGATAACCATCGTGGCATCGTGGAAGTATATATACATTTAAAAATATGTATACATAAATAAAATATAATATACATAAATGTATATTATATAACGTACCGGTAAGCAAAGTGTAGGGCGGCCAACCACTAGATGTAATGACGACTTAGTAAGACATGCAGGAAGACGATGGATGCAGGTGGCTCGGGACCGTGCTTTGTGGAATTCCTTGGGGAAGGCCTATGCTCAGCAGTGGACTTGTGATGGGCTGTAATAATAATGATGATAATGATACAATTTTACTGAGTTTTACTAAAAAAGCTTTAATGATGCCAATTGCACGAATTATTATTTAATTACTTAATTTGCTTTTGATATAGGGCACAATAGAGATGGAACATAACATTGAACAGATCGTCTGCTCATTTATGTGCATAGTCGTCAGGCCCTGAGAATATTACCTCGATATAATGAATATTATGTTCAAATGTTGTGAAAGTATAACTGCTCCGTCGTAAGTCGGGCATTTTATGATATAAATTTTTCTACTTGTAGCATAACGCACACACACAAGCACTGCGCTTTCAATACTTTATCGTTTGCACACCTAGCAAAGGTAAAAGAATATTTCAATAGGTACAATGGCCACCTTCAAGGTAGGAGTAAATAGGTATTGTCAAGCTAAGTCAGAGCGTTTACCACTTTCAGCTACATCATTTTGTAACGTCATAGATCTATGCTGAAGCTATAATGTGCTTATAGCACGAATAGGTTCGCTTGACCGGGAAAAGACCACGCTTTTACAGAATACCAGCTTAAAATAGTAGCTTAATACTGCTGTGTTTCGTATGGTGAGCGAAGAGAACCGGATACCCTTTTTACTGGAGACGAGGCATTCCATCTTAGTACTCAGGGGGGACAACACATCTGAATTTTGATTATAAATTCAGGATAGATGTAGATGTCTATGGGCCACAGCATCTACTTACCGTCAGGTGGACTGTGTGCTCGTTTATCGCAATATTTTTATATAAAAAAGCAGTTACACTGTCGGGAATATTAGTCAAGCACTGCTTATAATAATTAAAAATTAATCAGTTTATTAGTTCTGTTTTTTTATTTTTCTCGTATTTGCATGAAACACAATACTTCTACAAAAACAACGAGTATAGTTTATCGAAAGTTTTTGCGCCGTCAAATTTCTGGAAACAAATGTAAAGCTTTTACTTTGGCGTAAAGCCAAACCGCAGCGTTCAATATGCTTAAAGGGGTTGCTTTCTAACGCGTTATCAAGCAACACAATAAACCTCGACTGTTGCCATGTTAACACAGTCGTTGAGTGCGACGTGAATTTGTATGCGATTGTTTATATATTATACAACATAGGTTTTGATGTCATATAATATTCGAGCGATAAAATATTTTATTAAACTTAGTCAAGTATTTTTTGCTTGTTTTATGTTTTTGCTATTCTAAGCCATACATTTTTAAAACTTTTGGCTTGTCAATTTTTTGTTGGTTTTTTGTGTTTAGTTATTACGTAAAATTGTTCCATATTTGGACCTGAGCCTGAAAATAAATGAATAATAATAATAGTATTAAACTAAAAACTGTGTGGTCGGGGGGTCCCCCGTCAGGAACTAAGTTAAAATAATACTTTTCTAAGTTTGCATTATTTACACTTGCTGCAGTTTCTGTTTCTCGACTTTCCATTATAAAAAGGCAATGATGACATAATAATAATAATAATAATAAAAAGGCGTAGGGAAGTGACGACCCCATCGCCCGCTGACGTAATGGTTATGTGACAAAACTGCTACGTCAGCGCAGT